GGGATTGCTAGTCCTTACTGACTCCTTCAAGCAACAGTTTGAGGCTCACAACAAAGTTTCTAGGACAACTAGTCCTTACTGCCCCAAACAAAAAGATCTTGAGTTCACTCAGTAAATGTGAGAGTTCTTCCTTCAACTGTGGTTTATAATAGGATTAACACAGAACCATCTTGAGGGTCATAGAAAGCCAAAAAGCTTTTCTTCTAGATGTGTGTTTTATGTGCTTCCAAAGCTTGGAAAACAAGAGCAATTTGTTTTTGTATTAGGGGATCAGGTTATGGATTAGATTATGGATTTGAGTGGATAGAAATGCAAGAACGTTTCTTCAAGGTGATTTCTTGTCCGCCTTTCAAAAAAAATGTTCGAGGGTGATGTTCGTGGTCTATTTGCAAACATAATATTTCCCTTTTTGCACCTTAGTAAACTAACTTAAAAAAAAAGTGGTTCATACAACATTATGAACCTCAGAAATAATGACTATGTAATAAAACTTCCTAGTGAAATGGCTTAATGAATTTGATTTATATCCATAGGGACTATGTAATCAACTCAAGCCAAGTTGAATTCAAGTGGAGGGACTCATAAAGAAAAGTATCTCGCAGATGATTGACCACAAGTATAAGTTCTCCTTGATTTTTGTGGGAGTCCAAATATGGACTGTAACACTTTATAGATTTTCCTAAACTCAATAGAAGAACAACTCTCTATTTTATAGGAACTATTCTATTATGATCATTTCTGTTTAATGAAGTTTATATAGTTCTCTCTGCTGTCCCTAGAAGATTTCTGGGTATTCGCGACTAGTATTTTACTATATTAATCTAAAAATAGTGTAAGTTCTTCTTTTAGGTGCATGATTATGTATAACTTCAAATTTGATGTTCAATATTGTTTGTTGGGGTCACTTCATGTTGTATTTGATTTTGTGGAGATTTATTGCTTATGCAGTATTGATAAACACACTATCAATTGCCCTTTGACAATTTCGAGAAGTATATCTAATCTTTTCTGTTAATCGCAGGCATGAATGCTTTATTTAATCGCCATTGTACAAATTATAAAGGAAAGGTGTGTTGCTATTCTTCACTGTGCTCTAAATTTTGTGCCTGTATAAGTTTTTGTATTACAACCTTCAATTGATATGTTAGCTCTGACTCTGTGATATTCCTATTCAAAATTAGAAATGAGTGTATTATAGAAGCTCTTGTAAAGCTTCAAGCCAAGGACTACTAGCAACTTTAGGTTTAACGTTTGAGAGCCAATGATTTGGGCTTAAATAGTTCCACGTTACTTTTGCTTAGGCTGAAGGCATTACTCGGACCGTGGCCCAGCTCAGTGTCTTTGTATAGTTCAATCTAAGTCTTTATGGGGCTTTTGTTATGATTGTGATTTGAGGCTTTGATGAGAACACTATGTGTGAAGTATAGTGATCATGCTCCTATTGATGGAGAATATCTCACTTGTAGATACTAGATTTGTGGCATTGGATCTATGTCTTTATGGGGCCTTGATGAAGCTTCTATTGATGGAAAAGATCTCAATTGTCTAATTATTTTGTGTAGGCTTTTGTACTTGTGCTCTATTTCCTTATTGTCTTATGGCTATTAATCTTGTTTTCCGATCTTGTATTCTGAAAAGGAAGGGAGGATTAATAAATAGGATGAATGGAGACATGAAACAGATTTAAGTTCCCTATAATTTTTTTTTTAAAATTTGGTGGTAAACCAAAACTACCCTCAAATTCCGCAAAATTGATTTTGCTGTTAATACAGGTGAAGCTGGTATGTGAGCATAAAGGCGTTCTTCAAAAAGTTCTACTGCAAGTACGGCAGGTATGCCCGCATTTTGCTTATTTAGTGGCTACTTCTAGATGTTATCACTTCAAGTTATTCCCTATCTTTTCACAAAGAAAGAACCATGCAAGACATTTTGTGTTTTGTTAAAAGAATTCAAGTCTATCCAAGTAAAACTGAAAGTCGGATAGGGACATGTTTCGGTGCTCTGCAGTTCATATTCATTTACTGTGACACGAAAGGATGACCAGATAATGCATGGGAAAAGTTTATATGGCAACAAGTCTTAAATAAGAAAACTATGACAAATAAGACTTATAACTAAAGAAGGTATAAAAATCCCAAACAATAAGCTTGTAATAATTCCGAAATATGCTAGATTATCCTTAATAATACGTAAAAATTACAATTACATAAATATATTATAGTAGTAAAGTGTCTCCATTCCAAGATATTACTATTTTGCATCATCTGCATTTTATGTTTGCTGATAGTTAGTTTGGAATAGTGCCGAATGTAAAATGTCAACCCTAGTGTTTGTATTGAATAATATTGCATATTTACTTTAGGATATGCATATTGAGTTGATCTAATGCTGATGTGTTTTGTTATCTTCAACCTTACAGATTTATGAACGATTTGATGCAGACTCAATAGTAGATGCTGATAATGCTCGTTATGAATATTTTTCCAAGAAGGTTTGTGCTTGAACAGTTACTCATTTTAGCATGAAGTGTGTTCTTTCAAACATAAGTTTTAATTTTTCTCTTGTCTAGACGGTTTCATTTTTTTTTAAAAAGGGTTATCTTGTGCCAAATAAAGGATCAACATGGTATAGTCCACCATTGTTGCGTTGCTGCTGCATATAATTCAACTCTCTTTTTTTTGGAGTGGGGGAGGTGCATGTAGTTCAACTTAAAGAAAACCATCACTCCGAAAATGTACGTCTAAAAAAATATTTGTCTTGTTAAGAGGGTTTCTTTTTTGAAAAAGTTCCCATGGCTGATGAAAGATTAACATGATATAATTGACCATTGTTTTAATTAACTTCTAAGAGGCCTTTCTGCTGCGAAATTCAATTTTTTTTTAGGAGTGCATATAATTCAACTTAATTAAAGTCATAACTCCAGATAGTTCTTGTTTGAGCATCTAACTTCCATGGCAACTGACTTGCCTTGGTATTTCTAATGGTTTAGTGAAGGTCAAGCGTCGACATGATAGCACCAATCTTGTATCAGGAGTTGATACAATCTTTTTCTTCTAAGGACAAGACTGATCTATATTTAGTTCCCTGGTTCCTACTTAGTAAAATGACTTAAGTTTAGATTGCTTAAATTGATTAGAAATTTACTCTTTTAAATATAGACATACTTCTTTTGCATAGGAAATAATCAAGGGATTTACATCTTAATAGAAAATTTATACAAGTTGAAAGTAAAAAATTCTGAATTTATTGGATTAGATTTTGACAAGTATGGTAGATTGTCTACAAAATTTTACTAAAAAAATGAAAATTTAAAATTAACATTCATGTAAGACAAGTTGATAAAAATTTTGAGTTTAATATATTTTTATTTATTTGAGCGTGACATATTCTTGTTTGTCCTTTGAATTATGAGTTCAACTTATTTAATATTTTATTAAATTAAATGTCTAAACATAACTTATTCTAAAAACTATATGTTGCATATGTTTGATATAAATTATAAGGTTAGATAATCTCAAAAAATAAATTGTAAAGTTAGATAGTTTATTATCTTTTCTTTGTATAAAAATAAGTAACTATTATTGTTTATTATTATTTTGCATGTGCATATATATGTAATTTTTTATATCAGAAAATTATAAAATAGTAATAAATCCAGAACAATGCACTCAAGTTTATAAAAATTAGTATGTACTGCTCCAAAGTTGAAATTGAAATACTGATTGTGTGGTACTTACTACTTTGATTAAATACTAAGATACAACTATAATTATTTTACGGATGCAGGTTTTTCCCAAGATAAAAGATTCTCTTCAGGTAATTTACATTTATTTTAAACCTTTATAGATATCGTATGATATGGAACATACTCATTTTTGTTTTATGTTCTGCAATTGTAATTCATCCTTTGATGTTTTATGCAGGGGGGGACTATGATATTTTTGAATTCTTACTTTGATTTTGTTAGGCTTCGAAAGTTTTTGAAATTACAAAATGCATCCTTCTGTCTGCTCGGCGAGTAAGAATCCTATCTCTGTCAAAATTTCCTAAAATTAAGGCATTTATGGTATAAATAATTAGTAGCTTGATTATGTTTCAGATACACAAAACCATCCAACATATCACGAGCTCGGGTTTGGTTCTTTGAGGGTAGACGCAAGATTATGCTTTATACTGAGAGAGCTTATTTTTATAAACGATATAAGGTTTTCCTCCATTGCTATTATCATTGGGTTTTTGATTTTTTTTAGTGGTGATGCTAGTTTTGTTCCTTGCAAAAGATAATGACTTCAACATTTTGTTTGTGTTTTGTTGATTTATTAAGCAAGTAAATATCTTAAACTCTTCTGTTTGTAGATTCGTGGTATTAAAAATTTGATCATCTATTCTCTGCCAGAAAGGAAGGAATTTTACCCTGAGGTAATTATTTTCTTTTTCTGAATTAATTAAAAAAAGTTGTACCATTTGGTAGATCGAAACATATTTTAGTGCTCATTTTCTAAGTACCATACATGAACGTATTCATTTGGATACACAAATGAACTTACTTGCATTTACATATGATACATATTATATATGCTGCTTTCTGTAAGTAAATAGACACACATATATCTCCATATTCCTGTATGTATGTGTGAGAATATGAATGTTTATGTACTTATATGACATACATGCTTTATGCAATATCATACAGATAAATGCATGTGCATATGGACATGAACATCATATATCCTTGCATCTAGATATACAATATATACACAGAGGTATACGTAAATATGTACAAGGTATATATATGGATTAAAACTAATTAAGAAATATTTTAATGCGTCAGAGACAAGTATATATATCTAAGGATCAAGACTAATCAAGAAATATTTTCATGCATCAAACACTGCGCTACTTTGTTTCATTTTAGGGAGGGTGTAAGGTCAGATTTATATTTCTTATGTAAAGCCCATTTCTTATTGCAGATTGTTAATATGCTTGAGGGGTCCAATGACATGACAGCTACTGTGCTCTTTTCTCGTTACGATCAGCTCCAGGTACTAATATTTATACTGTATTCTCTTTCTTCTGTTACTGCCTTCCAACGTTGTAACCTTGTGAATGAATCTTTTCTTCATTTCCTGCTTGACATGAGAATTGTCATCTGTCTTTCCCTTTTACTCATGGTTGATTAATTTGGTTATATGAGAAAATTATTGATGTTTCCTTCCCCTTTTCTGTTTATATTTGTTTAGTTGGAGAGAATTGTTGGATCTACTTCAGCCAAGAGGATGATCAATTCAGAGAAAAATGTTTTTTTGTTCTCTTAAAGTCTGCGGGATTCTGGAAGCTTCTTTTTCTTCCTGGAAGTATTAAAGAGTTGCTACAAGTTGAATTGAAATTGAAATGAACATGGCCTCTTTATCGAAAAAGGAAGGCGTTAGCTGCAAAAGCGAATACAATGTGGCAGGGTTTTGAAGAGATTCTTGCTACCTGTTGCCTTCTGTTTTCTGAATTTTGCGAGATTCTTGTTTATCACAATGTGATTTGTAAATTTATATAAAATTGTTTTAATACATAATTTCTTTTTTTTTTTTCTTTTTAATTCTTTCTTGTTTCTTTATATATACTGAAAGTGGTTGAGTGGCCCCTGATGTGGTTTCTACAGTGAAAATATCAAATGCATGCAAGGGTTTTGAGAGGCATAAGCTTATCAGGTTATCAAGCCTTTTGCTCTTGTTTGGTTCTCCGGTCAGATCTCCAAGCTTCTAATTTTTAAAACTGAACATCTTTGTAACGAGAACACCAAAAGTATTATTGAAACGTTTTAGATATAATTCTCTAATGATAATGGAGTTAGGTTGGGAATAGGATTGTACCTAAAAAATTGACATTAAACATCTCAAAGTCTTTTCAGCTCGGTATAAAGTAGAAAGGATTGCCAGATGTGTCAGTGAAGTTTATATTGGGCACAAGAATCATGGAACAAGTTGTTCAATGCCACAGTTCGAAAAAACACACGCTTGTAAGGAGATGGTGTTTTAACACACACAGGAACTAGAAAGGAAACACAAAACTAAAACCAACAATCAGTCACTAATTTTGTCAGTTAAATTCAAAAAATAATGCTTCCATCCGTTGAAGTTGACAAAGGGAAAATTAATCCAAATGTTCAATTTTGGACCAAAGGTATTTATTATATGCTGAGAGTATTTC